ATTATAATAACACATTATTTAAAATGACATATTTCTTGTTCTTGTGCCATCCTGATGATATCACATTTAAAGAAGAGTGTGAGTGGAAGATCGTGTCTGTAATTTGTACCTGTGGGAAAGTTTTGTCATCTTTCCTATCAAAGTGGTTCAGGGGTTGGTGAATTGTGCCTTTTTTGGGAATGACAGTAGAAGTGTTTGTCACACGCTGTTTTATTCTGGCCTGTTGGATTTTATGCACATGGTCCTTCATTCTCCATAGAATTTGACCTAGAAAATATACCATATATCTATATATATATGAAAACAAAAGTGTGTGAGTGTTTGGTAATGTAATAATCTGAAGCGGGAATGCTTTCAGTTGGAACAGAAGGAAGCGTTTAGGTTTCATTTTTTGTCAGCCATTTTTTCCATACAGGATTCCATTTAGATTTACTAGATTTATATTTTCTAGCAGCACTTGTTAGTTTTATAGTTTATTTATCATGCTTATACATTTAACACACACACACACACACACACACACACTCACTCACTCACTCACTCACTCACACACACACACAGATACACAGAGAGAGAGAGAGAGAGACAGACAAACATACTTATATATATTTTTCTCCTTCGTGGTAATCACATTAAACTTAATGTGAACAGATAAAGGCTTCTCTGGACTTGTAGGAGCCCAAATTGAGTTAGTATTTAATTACAGCTCTAGTTGATGCATTAGCTACTCTTTTAGGAAACATGCCTGAACAGTTTTAATATTTATCTCATTACTCAACCCTTTAGCACTAAATTATTTCAACCCCATCGATCAAATCTGGTAAAGCTTCGGTGTACCTTTACATAACACATTATAACTGAAAGAACATTAATAACTCAGTGAGATTTATATCTCATAACATGTCAAGAAACAGAACAGTGATTTCCTCCAGAAAAGCCTACTGACTCTGAGCTTGATGAAGACAATATAAGTGTAAACATACTGACAAACTTAAAATGCAATAATGTGGTCAAATGCTGGAGATGATAATACTATCCCCATTGAAGGGGGACCTGTTTCATTTAAACATGTCAGAAGGAGCAGGTGGGAAAAGAACAGTCAAATTCTGCATTCATAAAATGCATATAGCACTTTAGAAATAAAAGCATATCTAAAAGTCAATACAAAGCAAAATGTAAGTAGAATTCAGTCTTATTCCATATAACCCATTATAATAATGACGAATGTGAATTGGCTGATCTTCTAAAGAAAAAAAAGGTTACATTTTAATATAGTTTTATTTTAAATTTCTTAACACACTAAAGTTCTATAAACAGCATCTTCTCAATTATATAAATTAATCACGGAGGTGTAAATAAGGGAGAAATGACACCGCTTCAAGAGAAAATTATCAATAATATTAAGAGAAAAAACAACAAAGAGACCCACTGAAATATCTCAAACTAGTAACATGACTATGAATAGATAAATTACTTTTTTAACTTAGAAGTTAATGCTTTTATATGAACTTATTCAATCTTACCGGAGCAAACCAGGTCAATAAGCAGAATCACTGCAACCCAACTCATCACAGACATCATTCTACCTAATTTGCTGTGGATGATGGTTTCCAGTGTATACGAGACTGGAGCAGTTTTTATACCCAACTGGGCAGCCAGTAATATGATAAGATGTCCACAGTACTGTGAATAACTTTACAGTGTGATAATGAACACCTGAAACCTGGACGCGCAGAAAAATACAATATCCAAGCTGTGACGAAGTTCATATTTCAAGACCAAACTAGTTTCTCTTCACAAATCATCCATATTGACTATGTCCTACATTATACACTTATTTTAGCAGTAGTTGTTTTATTGAGATGCAAAAATATCACAAAAATATTGATACAAATTGTAACATTTCATGTAATGCAGAACACAAGTCACTGATAATTCAGAAAACAAATCATAGGCTACAAAAGCAAGTCAAACCATTTACCTCCATTTCATCTTAAGGTATTTTGCTTTTACCGCATTCAGCACTGAACATGTTTAACAGGATTTTTTGGTTAATTATTTGACATGAACCAGCATTAAGGCACTGAATGTGAAAACAGAACTGAAATATGCAATAGCAAGTTTCACTTTAGCTGTAAAAATCATGTTGATTAAGATGAGCAAACCAAACTTAGTAGGTGGTTTTCCTTGAAGAAGATGTTATTTGTAAGTAAGGGTGTGTAGACTCTCAGAGCTTAGAGAAAGTAACTTCTTTGAGGTTTTTCTTCTCCATCGCTGCCTGAGCTGACTTCATTAAATCTTGGGTTTGAAGCATGCTCATATTCCAGGTGTTCTGCAGAAACAAACAGGAACAGAAAACACATAAGAAGTTTTGAGTTTTAACATTGAGTGACAAATGTTACTGTTTACCAATATACACAAATGGTCTTCCTCAAAGTAGCACTTGATGGCTCCAAAACTGAATCTTACAATTGTTGTTGGTTTATAATCCGATATATACAAATAAATTCACAATAAGCTGAAACTTGTTTAATTCAATATTCAGGACAAGATCTAAAAACTTTTCACTTAGATCAAAACAAAACAAAACCAAACAAAACCAAGCCAAGCCAAGCCAAACAAAACAAAACAAAACAAAACAAAACAAAACAAAACAAAACAAAACAAATATAATGGCTGTCCACATGGGAAGGGTTGTACTACTTGTACTTCTGGACTAATAAAAAAATTAATAATATTAATGATAAATAATAATAAATAGGAGTAGGCTATGCTGTATACACTTCTACAGTTGTAAGAGTGTCTAACACACACTTTCTGCTTTGTTTTTTATTTATTCTACTGTTAGACTATATTTAATGTACTTGTTTGATATTGTTTCTGAATTTAATTGATTTTTAAATGAAAAAGTTTAATAATTAGTAATAAATAAGTTTGTTTACCATTAAAAATAAATTATGATTTGATTACCTTATGAAAAATGTAAGGAGGTGGTTGACACTTTTTATTAGTTTGCAAAACACTGCGGTAATGGCTGGGTTGCAACAACAGCACTCTTTCTAAAAGAAGCTAATTTACACATTTAAAGGTGCAGTGTGTAAATTTTATCTAGCGGTAAAGTTGCGGTGAAGTTGCAACCAACGGCTCAGTCCCCCGCTCACCCCTCCCTTTAGAGAAGCTACGGTGGCCGATACAGGACTAATATGTCGTCGGTAAAGACAGCAGAGTGCAATGAGATTTCTTTACAAAGGTAAATTAAGGAATTATATTTACTTAATTATTTAATAAATCGATGTTATTGCGAATATTAATGTACTTGTTCATCATTGTGTCAGTGTTTTATTCGTAAGAACAACAAAGTGACGAAACGCGCTGTGTAGAGCAGTTTGTCCATGTAGGGCTTAACGTTACTGTAGAAACATGGTGGCGACTTCCATGTAAGGGGACCCGCGGTGTATGTAGATATAAATCGCTCAATCTAAGGTAATAAAAACATAACGGTTCATTAAGTAAGGTCTTTATACACCTCTGAAAACATAGTTATGTATATTATATTGCATTTCTGTCAATAGATCGATGTAAATATTACACATTGCACCTTTAAGGAGATTTAATAACAAAACCCAAACCTAAACAAGATATTACAAAACTGAATAAGACCGCAATCTGCTACATTTCTACAGTAACTGAATATATTCCAAATATACATAATGAAACAATTAGATGTAGCTGAACACCTACACAGGTGTTAATCTTTCAATTTCATTACCATTTCTAAACAGTAAAGAGCTGTCCTTCTGGTTTTGTAAAGAAATTTTACAAAAGAATACAATGTATAATGCCACCTGTTGCCAGTGTTTTTGGGTCATTGTTTTGTGAGTGACAAACTGGTGTTATGGAAGAAAGGGTTCATTTGAAACATGTACTCTATGAAGTGCTTTGATAGTTTTAGTGCATGTAAATATGTGAAATTTTCACACAGATTGTTACAAAACACTACCCTACACAAAGACAGACACAAATACTGATTAATCCCTTGTTTGTCTTAGGTGCATTTCAAAAGGTCTTAATTCAAATGGATGTACGGTTAAGTTTTTTAAAAAGGTTTTAATTAAGCATTTTTCCCTGTTTGTCTGTATCTTCACTCTCTCTTAGCAACCCATCACGCAAATGCGCAACCTGCCTTTCATTGCTTTTGTGCTGATGTTATTTTAATTCCCATATCCCAGCTGAATCTGTCTGTGTTTTTTGTTATTATTATTATTATTATACTTGTCACTTTGTCAATTTATATCGTTTTACTTTACTCAGTTCAGGGCTTACTATGTAATTCAGGGCCTCTG